CTGCGAAACTCCTCTTTAGATGTGTTAAGAAAGTCACGGCCAGAAATCCTTTCATTACGTAGGATCTTGAAATCTGCCTCAACAAGATCTAAATCTTCCCGCCTCTGTAGATAATCTATAAGTTCTTCCGTCTTATAATTTTTGACCACGTCTGCCATCGTGCGAGTTGACCTTTCTTAGAGGATGTAGAAATAGGTGAGGAAGGTGAAGAAGCGTATGAAGACATGTTACTTTTATATGTGAGAATTTGCAAAATCTTGTTTATGTATCCTGCTAATAAAAGCTAGGTAATGCGATGCAACGATGATCTGGGAATTGCGGGGATTTCGAAGCTTCATAACTCCTAATTTCTGATAACGGTACTGATAAGAATCAACAGGCTTTTTGTCCTTATTGCCTTTTCGAGTTTGTCCTTATCATGAGAATATGTATAGTAAGAAGCATTTTTCAGCTAATATAAACGAAGAAAAAAAAAAGATTTACGCATGTTCCACGAGCTTCTGTGTCGATCCCTATGTGATGTGATTGGTTAATAATTTCCGGGAAAATAGCAGGCCTAATTATATGCTTGTAATACACAGCCAAAATAGATTGCCTCATCTTGATTATCAGTGATCGCCAACGCTTCTTTTTTTTTCTGCGAAAGTGTACGCTATTCTTCTTGAGTAGGACTCGGCTCTAGGATTATATAATTCTAACGGCTCGTTGGGTAGTGTCACTTTCGTATTTCCACGCCTATTAGTTAATACACCGAACTTTTTTATTCCACGTTTTTCACAATCTGTTGTGGGGGAATTAAGCAAGTAATGGACGCGTTAAATAGTGAACGAAATAAACCGGTGCTATCGAAATCCACAAAACGGGATCTACGAAGGAAGGAGCAACGACGCATAAAGAAGGCAAGACTTGAGGGACCCACCATACCCGATGCCGACGACGACCAGCACACCGCACCCGATTCTAACATTGGCCAAGACAACGAAAGATTGGATTTATTTTACGACCCAAAAAAAGTAAGTTGGCTATTAGCGGGTTATATCTAGTGGTTGTTAATTTTAGGTATGATCTTGATCTAATAAAATCCCAAAAGAATCATATTCATATTAAAAAGAAAAAGATTGACTCTTCTATTTGAAAATATCATAAAAAAAAAGGGTATCAACTATATTCACATTCCAAAGTAGTGATCCCTTTAATTAGAATAATTAAAAAACTATTAACAGTCAGAAATTTATCAACCAATCCCATCATGAATAGGATTGATATAGAAGTTCATAGAATATATTAATAAAAAGTTCATGATATATCTGCTATAATAAAAATAAAAAACTTAAGTAGAAATAAAAGTATACTGGGATAACTAATGAGCTTGAGTGATAATTATGTCAATACAAATACTTATTGACTCAGTTGTTAACAAAAGTATCAAAATGCAATAAATATAATAACTGTAGTAATAAGAATTAATAGAAATATAAGTTAACTTCAGATAAATATGAGATCATGATAATTTCTTCTTTATTAAAGATTCTAATATTGTTAGTGTAATATCCTTTTTTTACTTATTAGTGAATGACATAGCTTATTATTACTTGCGATTAAATATAATAATGAGTTTGATATATTAACTAATATATAAAGAAAAGAATAAAAGCAATATTATTTAATGAGTTAATGTTTTACTTACTTATAAAGCAAGAGTATTTACATATTAGACAAATAGTATATACTTTCACAAAAAAAATGTGAGAATATAAGTAATTATTAATAATTAATAAGTAATATATATCAGATAATCATCTAATAAAGATAAGATAATTGATAAGGATAAAATTGTAATAATATATTGTTCTATATCTTTAATAATTGTTATATGATTTATTTTAGGTGTGTGAAATTTATTTTGAATCTATTTTAAGATATATTATAAGCATATATTAATTTTCTGATGAATATATTCTATTATATATATATAGTAAATTAATATATCAATTACTTCTTGATAAAACAGAAAAAATAAAAACTGAGATATATTAATCATCAATTGAGATGATAAAATAAAATAATTAAAATACAGAATAAATATTAATTATTAAATAGGGATAAAAATACTATTAAACTATCTTCATCACTATCTTATATTCTAAAATTAAATAGCAAAAACAGATCAATGATCAAGATTCTTTATAATTAAAAAAAGTTAGTAAATGATATAGAATAAATGTATGAGAGAATATAAATGAATATATACTCATAGCAATAATAAAACCTCTACAAACTTATATATAGTTTTTTTATTATCTGTATACTATATTAGAATATTTACAAATCATAAAAAAAATAGACAGCTTATATCTTTATGATCTTAGATAAGGATATATAAATTAAACTTTTGTCTAGCAACTTGAAATTCAAGAATACTAAATTCATTTTCAATTAATTTAAGTCATCATTAAGTTCTTATCACACTTTTATTCTATTATTATCATCTTTTGTATTAACACAAATAATACGTGAATATTTAGTAAATATTAATTTATAAATTCTATCCTCATACTTAGTTATGAACATAATATTTAAATATTTTTCTTTTTTATCTCTTTTGTTTTTGCTAGTCATACTTTGATATTCTGTCTTATAACATAAGAAATATAAATAAAATAATACTTTTAGAAGAAAAAATAAGAAATTTACTTACATGTTGATATATGCAGATTTTTTGATTGATAGATCTTTTAATATAGCTCAAATAATAAGAATAATAATATCTATTACATATGTCCTCTCACTCTGAATTTTAGTGAATTTAGAGATAAAAACTGAATTTTTCTAAATATTATTCCTATAATATAAAAAATAAATAGTCTATAAAATTATGAATGAGTTAACAATAAATAGATCTAATATTATACTTACAAAGTTTCAAGAATTCTAACTATAATATTTATAAGAATCTCTTTCATCTTCTACTAATTTATATATAAAAGCTTTTGAGAAGGGATTTCTATAGTACTATCATCATAATTTGATATGAATTCATCACATATTGATTTGATTAAAGAAGAGAGATGTTTGCATATATTTTATTAATTTCTAGTATTATATATATTTTATATATAAACTTTATTACACAAAAATGAATTATTTTATTCTTATTATGAAAGACTCATACTCTTTTTTTGATAATTGCTTAATTATTTTTATTTTACTACTAAGAATCTGACTTGCAAGTAGATTATGTCATAAAAGTTCTAAAGAATTAATCTTGTCAATATATTTTCATAAAGATTTGATATATAGAGCTTTACTTTTTTTAAGATTATCTTTTAATATTTGTAAGTTAGTTTTAATCTTCTTAGTAAATAGATCTTTTTCTTGTTTTGTAACTTCAAAATTATAAAAACTATACACTTCTTCAAATGCATCATCAAACTAGCACAAAAAAATTTATATTAGATTTAGTTATTATATATAATTATATCAAAAACTATGTACACACATATCAAATTTCTATCATGCTAATTACTAATTATGTGTGGCTAATACATAGAAAATAAATCACATGATATATATATTCTTCTGAATTGAGACTCAAATATACTCCTATATATTTGAGAATTAATAGATTAATATATAAAATAAATAATTCTGAACTTATATAACTTTGAATATAACTTTAATTCAGTTATTAGAATTTTATTCTGTGCTAATTATCATATAATCAAAATTATTTTTTAGTAATAGACTTTAATTATTATTTTCAATAATAATTCAAGAAGCTTCTAGTATTTATCTAAATCAGATGCATATGAAGATAAAATTACTGAAATCGATTGATATAATAGTTATCTTAAAGTTTCTTTTTCAATTTATACATCTTCATTCATTATTTGATAAATTATCAAAAATGCTATAATATACTCTAAAGATGTGATGTGAAGAAAATTACAAATAATATTATATAATATAGATATATTTATATATATTAAAACAAAGTATAAGTAAAAAAAAAAGTAATAAATAACTATAACATAAATATATTATCCTTATAAAATATTTTTTTCACTCATTTTTGATCTCATTCAGATATAGGAATAGTAAATTTAGAAATGTGAAACTAATTTTTAGTAAGCTTGATGTAATTTAATTTTATTATAATTTTTTTATTACAACTTTTTTTTGATTATAATTATATTTTCTTCATAAGTTAGATATTCAAGTTTAAATTTACTGGTTAAAAATATCTTGGTAGTAAGAAAAGATAATAAAGAACTTTTTTTTGACAAATTAAAAGAAATAAACTTTTTTTTGATTAAGCTTTATTAAAATAAAAATTTAATAATTACATATTATTTATTGTTATCTATTATTCTTATCTATTATTATTCTTAAGTATTATGATTCTTACATATTGTGATCCTGATGTATTATAAATCTTATGCATTAAAGCATTCTTGTCTTGTTATTAGTTTTTGACCAATAGTAAGACTCGATACTATATGATTAATTCTTATAATTTTTTATATCACAGTAAATCTGATTGATTAGTGATCTAAATTTAATTGATCAATAATTGTGATGATATCAATTATAACTGGATATTACTTCATTTTAATGATATTCCTATTATGAAATAATGTATTATATTAATATACTTATAATATATCTGAAATAGATTTATTTATTTCATATCTGAAATAGATTATATAATAATTATTCATATATTAAAAATAGATTATACTATATCCATAGTGCATGAGCAATTTATATATAATTCTTATCACAAATAAATTCTTTAAATTCATATGTATTATTCATAAAATATAATGAATATACATAACTTATCTAATAATTCAGATCCTATAGATGCTCTTTGAGTATTTGCATTAAAATTGAATCTGATTTTAATTATATATATCAAATCAAATCTAATAGATTTAAATATCTAAATACTATATAAATTGCATAATCTCTAATTATCTTGTAATTAAAGATAATAGTTACAATTACTATATTGCAATACTTATGTTGTAATAACTTATTAAAAAATTTAATAAAAATTGCAACTTGTCACAATTTATCACAAGTTACAACTTGCCACAACTTACCGTAACTTGTCACAACTTGCTATAACTTACTATAACTTATTATAACTTATTATAACTTATTATAGCTTACTATAACTTACTATAACTTATTATAATTTA